CCCCCGGGGGAGCCTCTTCCACGGCGGCTCTCTCCTCCGGTGTACCGGATTCCTCGTCGAACTCCCACGTCTGCCGTCCGACGAAGCCGTTCTTACTGTGCAAGTACGGACTCTCTCCCTCTCCCTTCCCTATCTTCAACTTCCACATTCTCTTACGCAGATAAGGAGGAGAAAAAGGCCCGTACGAACAACAAGGACCTTATCGTATTATTTGTGTATTATGTGCATGAAACTTATACGTTATATATTTCAACCAAAAAAATATAAACTTGTACGTAATTATGTTAACGTTGTCTTGTAAGAGAGGAGTTTGACCAATAGAGATTACTTGTCGTTGCAAATAATCAGAAAAGGCTACCAGACTACTAATTTCATTTTTTTCTACGTAGCTCTATCTACTATATATATATATATATATATATATATATAATTGGCGGTTTTTGTCAATTGGGTGAGCCCATCTAATGCAAAGCTCCGAATCGAATAGAAACGACCCGACATAAAAATTGAAGAGATATAAATTCTCTAAATCCAAAAAAATCATAATCGAACCAAATAAAAAATAACCGAAAAAATTGAAACATTTGTTTAAAATGGATATTTTACCTATAAAAACTCGATTTCGAACCTAAGCGGATCGAATCGAACCACAATTTATATAAAAACCAAACGGTTATAGTTTTTCTGTAACCGAATCTGAATCGAAATCCGAAATGACCATCCGTTATTCACTTTTTTTTTTTTGTCACGAGGCTTCGGAATTTAGTAAAATTCGAATGATTGGTTTGGTGGACATGCAACAATATTAGTTCATATTTCGTATTTATTTTCGCATACAATTAAAATAGATTTAAGTTTTGTATTTATGATATTCTGATTTGATGGGTACTAGAAATTAAATCCAATATTTCATTGGAATTGAAGAAAAATATAGTGTTTAATTGCGCATTGAACACAAATTTAATGATTATTTAACCATTTAACATAATATATTATCTATTTATGTGGTTTCGTGGTTCAGTATCACGTATGGTTTTTTTGACATGGCAAGCGATACAACGACGCTTGCCCACAGCGGATAGACTCTCTGCTTGGGGAATGCAGATCCCCAGAGTCTGCATACTCTGCAACTTGGACCAAGAATCGCATGGACATCTATTCTTCATGTGCTCTTTTAGCTGGCAGATTTGGTCTGTACTTGCAAGTTGTTGCTTAGCATCACCCCCACCGGACATGGCCAACTGCCAGATGTGGATTCAACTGCCGGGAAATGCTCGGGATCGAGGACAGCCATTACTAGCGAAGCTATATACCCAGATGACAATTTATGAAATTTGGCGAGAGAGAAATAATCGGATTTTCAGGGGGAAAACAAGAACGAACCCAATGCGAGATACTCTTCTGTCTATGAAAGTATCCAATCAGGGCAACCCAAACTGCCGCTTGCTTGAATTTTGGTACCAGTTGACGCAAAATTGGCGAAATGGATGAATTATTTACTATTACGTAGGCTTGATTGTAGTTGCCTGCACATGGGAATCGGTTTTTACCTTTTAGTATTTTGGAAATGCCCCACGGAAAGTTGTAGAACATTTTTTTGACGAGAAATACAAAGCACTTTCAACCCAAAAAAAAAAAAGGTGTTATTTCTTGTTAATCGTAAATATTTGCAGAAAGTAATGGGAGTTTACGTAAATTCCGACCTTTTAAGATCAGACGTTATCATCATCATCATCATCATCATCAATGCTTGACAACTGACTTCTTGACCTTTTTCGGACGTATCTTTTCTCACGCCTAATTCTGTATTTGTCCACATTCTTTACATATCTAATCCACATAACATCTAATTATATTTTATTATAAAATTATTATTTTTAATCAAATTAATTGAATCTAAATTTAAGATAAAAATAATTGAAGAAAAATAGTTTTTAAAAATTTTGGGAGTAATTTTTAAACTAAAAGACAAATTAAAATAAATTAACCGAAACAGGTAATACCTCAGGAGGGAAAAAGTATGGTCCATCATTTAATGTTTTCAATATTTTTCGGGTATTTCATTAATTTCACTAATCCCCGCATACGTTTGATAATATGTCTCCTTTAATTGGTTAGTTAGGAAGTTTTAATTACAGACTCTAGTAGTATTAAATATATTGTATCCTAATCCAATTTCAATATATGTTCCGTGAATATATCATCGAAAAAGAAAAGCTATGAAATGATAGATATTTTGAGAAAATATTATAAAAAATAATCGTTATTTAAAATTTATAATTATAGTATAGATACAATAAGTTATAATTATTCAATATAAATCTGTGAAAATAAATTATATTAAATCCCAATATGATGATGCTTACAATAAGCAAGTAATTAGGAAAATTATGAGAACCACAATGATAAAATCGAACTATCCAAGATTGAGTGGCTCAATCGGTAAAAAAAACTCCTTTCAAATCCGGGTTCGAGTCTTCATTTAGAAAGAGACATTCATATGGATTTCCACAATTCTTTAAAAGATGTAATCAGATCAAAGATACGGTGAATTTTTATATTATAAAAAAAATGAGTTGGCGAAAGCACTTGAGATTCGGATCACGGCCATTTTATTATGAAAGTACGTGTCTATCTCCCTAAGGATGGATGCGAGAGAAAATTATGGTTGTGTATAGTAGCAGACCGAGAATAAATTGTAAATGGCAATAATAAATTTCATAAGGATAAATGGGGTCATTAACAATTATATTAAATTTTATAAAATTTGTAAAAAAACATTTTTTTTAAATAAAACAATGGGTGTCAAAGAGTTTGATAGTATGAAGTTCCGTTCCTTCCACATCGTGTATACTGGTGGTTGCCAAAGCAAGATAGCCGCTCTTTTCAGTTGTGCATCGTCCCGCTTACTTGGCAACCGTTGTAATAGGCTCCGTCAGTCGGCTGGAGGCGAACTTAGACGCCGCATGGTACTGATACACGTGCATTCAAAGAAAAGATTATTCCGTGACTCATTGTCTTGGTTGCAGAAAAGGCATTTCGGATCACTGGTGATTCTCCATGTGGTTAGTCTCTCTCTCTCGTGGAACACCGGTTATGAAAAAAAAAAGTTAACATAAGACATGGTGCGGAGTTCTATGTTTAGCCCAAATGATGTTTTTTTTTTAATAATTCGAAAATTTACCGGACTTTTAGTCCAAATATATATCCAAGAGGATCATAAAAGTTTAGGTGAATGCTTAAACGATGTTGTGCCATTGCACTCTATTATGTTAATGTTGTAAAGAATTCTATATTTCTTTTTTTCGATAACTAGGATGGTTCTCCCGATCTTCGTCTCGACTACATCCATCCTACGTCCTGGACCAGCATTTGTATATGTATAATTTTAGTCCAGAAATTACATCCCTCCCCACCGATGGAATCAAAGTCATGACTTTGAAGATGATTCTGTCACATCTCAGTCACTGAACCACCAACTATGGGGTAATTCCATATTTTTTGTCATAAAACTCGGTCTTTTCTTTCCATTTATTACCCAAATTCGTTCATCATGAGTTGTCGAAGATAGGGATGGGTACAGATCGGATACCCGAAAAAATCGTGGTATTTGGATTTGGATCCGGAAGGCTCAAATATTTAATTATAAGATTTGTATCCGGGATTTAGGATTTACGAGTATCCGGAGTATGGATATCCGGAATAATGGTCGGGTATTCGCGGTCATCCGGATCCACATTTATTTAAGAAAAAACAATAATATTTATATATAAAATTTTAAAAAAAATGAAGATATATTTATAAAAATGGATGAATTACGATAAAAATATGATATAATAAAAGATAAATAATAATAAACTTAGTTTTTTGAGATAATATTAAAAATATGAAATTATTTAACCTAAAACAATTATATTTTATAAAACTGTTATATGAATATAAGATAAAATTATTTATAATCATATTAGTCGGGTATTCGCGGATACCCAGTTTTAAAAATTTTATTATCCGGAATTGGATTCGAATTCACGGGTATTTAAAAATGTAGATTTGAATTTGAATTTGAAAATTACGAATACCTTAAAATCGGATACCCATGAGATGAATATCCGACGGATATCCGATTTTTGGGTATTTATGTCCACCTCTAGTCGAAGGCGAAGTCATGGTGAGTAAGGCCGTAGGCTGAAATTGAAGTTCCTTCCACCATTGATTTCAAGACACCTTCGAATGAAAAAGACAAAAAAGAGAGATGCATGAATTACGAAAACGACAATATCATAAGTTGAAATTATAATTAAATTTCACACAGACATAGTAAACATAGAATTTTATTTTTGTAATTTCTGAAAATGTACTCATGCCGTTACACAAAAAAAAAATTGTACTCATGCAAAAGGAAAAAAAAAAGGAAAATAGCATCAAATGCATTATATATGTATATAGCAATGACATAGGTCATTGATTCAATTATCTTTAAGACCTAATTTTATATTCATTTATATAATTTATGATGAATTTAATTAATTTATTTTTTTGGGTAAGGGATCATGACGGACGGGGCGGTGCTTGAACATTCCTATTAAATGTTGTCCATGCTAATGCGATCAAGTTTCGTTTGAATTGAATGCGAAGGAAATCTGACGTGTCACGTGTGTCTTTCAACTGTACACGCACGCCTGTCTCTAGTGCCGACGACTTTTGAACATAACGCATTAAATGCAAAATAAATTTTGATGAAGCATTTATGATTTATGATAAAACAGTCCAAAAAACAAAAAGAAATGTGAATAAATCTCATCGAGATATCCAATTTTTCTGTTGTAAATTTATATTTATTTATTTATTTAAATTAAATAATAACTTTTATAATAATATGTGATGATAAAGAATAAATCCCGAGATGAATTCTTGAGAAGAACTAGTTTTTTAGACATGATATAAAATAAATAAATAAATAAGTATTATAGTTTTCTACATATATTTACACGAAACAACAACTTGTTTAAATCTATATATGATTGAGGGTTTAATCATAAGATTGTCCAAAAACAGGTCTGAATACATATATATATATATATATATATGTGTGTGTGTGTATGTGCGCAATGTTATTCGAAAAATTAATTACTCGGCGACTGTTTCAACCACAAGAAACATTGATGGCAGACGAAGCCCTACATATAACCATAACCTTTATGAAGCAATATTGGTAATAAAGTTTGAAAATTTAATATATATGTCCAATAATGTCTATATGCATATCATATTATTTATATATATATATATATATATTGATTGATGGAAATATTTTGTTATTGGCATGTTCTGATGGGCATTTTTCACACGCTGATATATTTCGAAACACTGTAGAGAACCGTATCTGTCTTGCAAATTAACAATTATAGGTGTCCTAATAATTTATTTTTTATAAATGTTGCAAGCATTTGATACATATATTAAATAAACAAAAATTTATCTAAATTTTCCAATCTAAGATTTGAAATATAAAAGACTTGATCAAGTTTTAAAAATTATACCACAGTCTTTTAGATTTAACAGAATATTCAATAATATTACAAGTTTATTGTATAAAATTAAAGGGAAAATCTCAACGAAATATTTGAATTTATCAATTTTTACAAAACAAAACTTAAACTTTATTTTTTTTCAAATAAAACCATAAATCTGAACTTTATAATTATCATCATTTTTAATCCTAAATGTTGATATGACGTACGAATATCTTATATAACAAGTTAACATTTAAACTATATTTTATTTACACGTCATTATTTACGTGTCTCGATATCAGTACGTCACGTTATCAATGAATTTAAAATTGACAATTGTTATAAAGTTTAAATTTATTTATAATTCAAGTATCAAGTTGAGATTTTATTTGGAGAAAATAAATTTTAAGTTTTAATTTGTTAAAATTGACACGTAATTATTTTTTATTTTTTCAAAATAAAAATAGTGATATTCTAGAAAAGACATTTAACTTATTATCATTCAAAAAGTATTAATTATCAAATCCTAAATAATTTTTTTCTTGTAATTAAATGAACGTCTATATGGATGGCTCGACTAGCGTTTTTTTTTACGATGGAAAAACTCCTATCCTGCAACTCTTCGGATCGGACACTGGACACCGCAATGTTTCTCAGCCCATGGGCCAGATGAGAACGGCATCAAGACAACATCGCGAACCTGAGAAAACCCACCACCCTGCACAGTAGCCGGCAAACTACGCAGTGCAGGTAAACCAGCCTCGTAAAGCTGACCGGCTCAAGAGGAGTTTCCATACTTGGGTTTCGAACCCACAACCTTTTGGCAGAGGGAGTTGTCACTAACCACTATGCTGGAAAACTCCCCACCGGCTAATGTTTATGACACAGTATATTATTAAATAATAAATATTAGGCTAAAATCATTATTAGATTGTTAATTTTAAAAAAATTCATTACGGACTATCATTGTTTTGCTAAATATTTTGTAGAGACTCGAAGATTTATACGAGAAAATTGAAAGTAGTTAGAGTATACTAATAAATTTATAACTAAAAATTAGCGTTAAAATATATTTTTCTCGTGAGAATATACAAATTTTGTTAAGTTATTTTGTATTTTTTTAAAAATTCACATTTTTACAATCCTTAAATGATGTTTTTTTAGTTGTATCATTCTCGCGACGATATCTACGGGAAACCGATATCTCCTTTGTCTGCGCTCTCGAATCTCGATCACTATGAACGGTTATGGAAGGACAATCATTCAATTCTCAAATAATTTCAATATATATATATATATATATATATACACGTGTTATATTGTGTTTAGTTAATTTATTTATAGTTATGTTTCTATTTTTTTATAAATTATAATATCTAAATTCAACATTCTTATTTTAACCAACCAATTAATTTTCTTAGTTATATATATATATATATACACTAATCAACAAAATATAAAAGCTATAAGAAACTGTTGCCAACTATATATATATATACACGTCCAAGACCTCTCGGGTAGATCCACTTATTACATACTTAATATGTAGTTCCAATTTTGTCGGGAGATAGAGAATATAGGAAATCTAAAGATAAACTTGAGATTTCTTTTCTAGTAATGACTTCAATTATATTTTCTTGTCAATTTAATAAACACAGATTTCATTTCGCAAATATTTCCCTCCCTAACACGTCCTATATATCTCAGCGGTGTAGTATATAATATAAAGTGCTTGTTCATGAAGTCGTGATCATACACATAGATACACACATACGTTACATACATACATACATACATACATACATACACAGAGACACAAACTAAGAGGATGTGGAAGTTGAAGATAGGAGAGGGAAGGAAAGAGGACACTGATTACTTGTACAGTACGAACAACTTCCTCGGACGACAGACTTGGGAGTTCGATCCCGACGCCGCTTCGCCGGAGGAACTCGTCGCCGTCGAGGAGTCTCGCCGGAATTTCTTCAAGAACCGTTCTCGTGTTAAAGCTAGCAGCGACCTTTTATGGAGAATGCAGGTATCTAATGATATTATATATATATATATACATGTCTTAGTTTATTGTCGCTAATCGGCCAGTTCGGAAACCAAGAGTTTTATTACGAATTCACGAGAACAGGTAATTATACTCTAATACAAGTTGAAGTTAGGGTTAGATTGGATTAAACCGGATTAAACCGGTTTAAAGCAAGTTTAATTATATGTAGAATGCGAGTAAAAAGAGATTTCTGTCCTGTGATTATTTGTTTGTACACACAAATTGTCGTTCTTGCAATATGTTAGAAATGCATGTGCAAATATATATATAGTCTTATGATTCTTTACAAGTTTAAACCCTTTTTTCTTGTAAATTTATTTGAAAAAACCTGAAATTTTTTATCTTTCAAGTTCAGGTTTATATTTGTATTAATTGGAAAGATTATATAAAATTAAATTGAATTCGGTTTATACTAAACACAATTTTTTATTCAAAACAAATTACAAAATTTAGAAAAAAACCAAAATATTTAGGTGTTTTGGTAAAGCAGTAATTTTTCTTTTTATTTCTTTCTGAAACCAACTCTTTGGAAATTTAATTACACCAAAATGTTTTTGGAATCTAAAATTTTAGATTATAAAAACTACGGTTGAAAGAAGAAATTAACACCAACTCAAAGGGACAATAAAAGCTCCATTTATAAAACTTGAAAAAAGGTGTTTGTCCATTATTTTCTCAAAAATGTATTATTTTACTATTTTTTTCGAATAAATTTAGTCTAATTCAAATCTAATCAAAATCCTAAGCTCCAAGCGCATTACATGTTTTTTTTCTTCTAAAATAAAGTGTAATATATACATATGTATACATAATACATATACAATCAGCTTTAAGCTTATATTAAAGCAGAATTCTAGAATAATATACATATTAATTTTTAAAATATATTAAAACATATTATCAATTTTATGCGACCAACTTTTTAAAATATATTAAAGCAGTATATCAACTTTTTAAAATAATATACATACTGTTTTTTTAGTTGACAAAAATGTTAAAAGAATGCAGCAATTTCCAAAACTATTATCACTTTATACGAACAAATTCGTCGTGTCACCATTTCCTAACGTAGCAAGCAGTTAAACTAACTATATAGTCGCATTACATTTTATGCGTCCCCATCTTAGAAAAATAAATTCTTCCATACATACATACATACATACATACATACATATGCATGTGTAGATGTACATGCAACATGTGTACATATGTCTTTTTCTGGTTAAACATGGTATATATGTAAGTGTATGTGTATGTATACGTGTATATATATATGTATGTATGTGTATATAAGTAAAGTTTTATTCTTTTTAAGAAATGGCGATGTGGTAATGATTTTGACGCTGCTCGTGAAGAAAAATGTTGTTTTGGAGTCTGTGTATTTTTCTAATATCGGTATATTTATTTTCAAATTAAAAGTTCATGTGCATTTTTGTCTACACAGTTTCTAAAGGAGAAGAAATTCGAGCAACTGATTCCGCCGGTGAAGGTTGGAGACGCCGAGAAGATAACGCACGAAACGCTGACCAATGCGTTACGGAGAGGAGTCCGACTCTTCTCCGCGTTGCAGTCCGACGACGGCCACTGGCCGGCTGAAAACGCCGGTCCTTTGTTCTTCCTCCCGCCGTTGGTGAGTTTATTTTCCGCTTTCAATCTCAATTCCCTGAAGATTCTGCACCGATTGTAGAACTAGGGTTTCTAATGTTCTGTGGAGGGAAAAGGAAGAACGAGATTGAAATTGGTTAACGGTGCGATTTTGTTTTCTTGTAAGTGGAATGTCGTTAGGAATTCTTTTGCTTTTCCAGAAACTTCATTTGCTATGTGGAGCAAAATCTTAGCAGAATAAGCTCCGATTACTACAGAAACTCGTCATTCAATAGTAACGTTTGAAACGATGAATATTGTGCTGATCACAAAGTACTTTCGATTTTACAAGCGTTGGATTTGACGCCTAAAGTATGAAATGAGTTTTGCCCTGTCCTATTCAATCACAACTTGATCTTATTTGCAGGTATTCTGTCTGTACATCACAGGGTATCTTGATGAGGTATTCACTGCAGAGCATCGAAAAGAAGCCCTCCGATACATATACTGTCACCAGGTACATCAAATATGGTTCCACAACGAAATCCATCATATATATAGTTTCCTTTTCATGTCAAGAATTGGCTCACCTTCTGTTTTCTTTTTCCAGAACGAGGATGGAGGATGGGGACTACACATAGAAGGTCACAGCACAATGTTCTGCACTGCCCTGAATTACATATGTATGCGTATACTTGGAGAAGGTCCGGATGGAGGACGAGAAAACGCTTGCAGAAGGGCCCGACAATGGATTCTTGGCCATGGCGGCGTAACGTACATTCCTTCTTGGGGAAAAGCTTGGCTTTCGGTAATAGCTCGATTCATTAGTTTACCATAAAATAACTAGGAGGATGTATTGATTATAGTATGGTGTTTGTAGATACTCGGTGTCTTTGATTGGTCTGGAAGCAATCCGATGCCCCCTGAGTTCTGGATCCTTCCTTCCTTTCTTCCGATACATCCTGGTTTGTTTTAGTAACATTTTGAATTTGATACTTATTTCTACAAACTGATTTGGAGATACAGGTTACTAGGATTTCGTTTCTGCAATTAAATTCGTGATGTTCCCGTTTTCTACTGGTCTAGGTTCTGTTTTTCTGTTGATAAGCTACGGGGAATGCTGATTTTCTCTTCCTTTTTTCTTCTCCTTATCTGTTGCTCTTTAGAGATATGATAATTGATCATCAGAAAATGTATTTTACAAGTTTATTTTGTTTATAATACTCGTGCAAATGGAAAATGCAGCAAAGATGTTGTGCAACTGTCGGATGGTTTACATGCCTTTGTCGTATCTTTACGGAAAGAGATTTGCAGCTCAAATAACACCTCTTATTCTGCAACTACGTGAGGAACTGTACTTACAGCCTTATGAAACAATCAACTGGAACAAAGCTCGTCATCTATGTGCAAAGGTGTAAACTCGATCCATATTCTTCCTCAAAAGTATCTTTTCTAGAAGTTACATTTGGAGAAACCATTCCATTTTTTTTCCCTTGCAGGTAGATTTGTACTATCCCCATCCTTTGATTCAAGATCTTATATGGGACTGTCTTCATACCTTAATGGAGCCTTTCCTTACACGTTGGCCATTTAACAAGCTTCTTAGGGAAAAGGCTCTTAAGGTGGCAATGGAACACATACATTATGAAGATGAGAATAGCCGTTATATCACCTTGGGATGCGTTGAAAAGGTTAGCACCCCCCTATTGAGAATGGATATGCTTGAAATGATGGTATCTTTGAGTTGCATGCTGCAAAACTCGATACTTCTTTCTGCAGGCACTATGCATGTTGGCTTGTTGGGTTGAAGATCCGAATGGGGATTATTTCAAGAAACACCTTGCTAGAATCCCTGATTACTTGTGGGTTGCAGAAGACGGAATGAAAATGCAGGCAAGAGAAATTATAAAATATAATCTTTATGTCTACCAGCTAAGAATTGGTAAAAAACAAAATATAGAAAATCTGTGTTATGGATTTATGCAGAGCTTTGGAAGTCAGCTATGGGATACAGGGTTTGCGATTCAAGCTCTATTAGCAAGTAACCTCTCCAATGAAATCTCCGATGTACTCAAGAGGGGACACAACTTCATAAAGATGTCTCAGGTTCGGTATCAGTTGCTGTATATTCTTGCATCTTAAAAAACATTTGACTGATAGTTCGAACGTTTCATACCTAATTGGAATTTGCAGGTTACAGAGAATCCTTCTGATGACTTCAAGAGCATGTACCGTCATATTTCCAAAGGGGCATGGACTTTCTCAGACCGAGATCATGGATGGCAAGTTTCAGACTGCACGGCTGATGGCTTAAAGGTTGTCAGATCATGCGAACAGAGCAAATTACAAATGACTTTAGCAATACTGTATTAATTAACATATCCTTTCTTCTTTTGCAGTGTTGCCTGATGCTGTCAACTATGCCGCCGGACATGGTAGGCCCCAAAATGGATCCCGAGCGACTCTATGATTCTGTTAATATCATATTGTCTTTACAGGTGAGGCATTATCGTCCATAGGAGGACCCATCTCCTCGAAAGCTCTCCAATTTTCTGATTGCGATTAGAAAAATTTTCATCTGCTCATTTTCCGTGTGGAAAACTTGTTTCAGAGCAAGAATGGAGGTGTGACTGCATGGGAGCCGGCCCGTGCATATGGATGGTTAGAAGTAAGAGCTGAAACCATCGAAGATGTTTTGCGGCGAATAAAAAATAGATTTGAAGACAAAATTTCTGAAACATCTTTTGTTCACGTTTCAGTTGTTCAATCCCACGGAGTTTTTCGCCGACACTTTGATTGAGTATCAGTATGCCGAATGTACTTCATCAGCAATCCAAGCATTGGTTCTGTTCCGGAAACTGTACCCAGATCACAGGACAAAAGAGATCAATACCTTTATCGAGAAAGCAGTGGAATACATACAACGCATGCAAATGCCTAATGGTTCATGGTACCTTACTATCACAGATATGGTCCGAAATTATTCCCAAATATTCAGCAAAACCAACGAAAAAACTTGTTCTTTCAAATGGCAGGTATGGAAGCTGGGGAGTTTGCTTCACATACGGTACATGGTTTGCTCTTGCAGGCCTAGCAGCCGCTGGTAAGACTTATGACAACTGTCTTGTTACACGTAAAGGCGTTCATTTCCTTCTTACAACACAGAAAGATAATGGAGGTTGGGGAGAAAGCTATCTATCATGCCCTGAAAAGGTATAGTTGTAAAGTTTTTACGACAAATCATTTTCACCTTTTACCCGCTTCCTGCCAACAATATATACTTCCTGTGCAGAGATATGTGCAACTAGACGGGGAAAAATCAAACCTTGTCCAAACCTCGTGGGCTATGATGGGTCTACTTCATTCGGGACAGGTTCAAACTATCATGAATAAGTTGTTTGTTTCGCTATTGGTAAGTGCCACAGGATAATCTTAAAAGACATTTTTTCGTATGCTCTTTACATAACAGGGTGAGAGAGATCCGGAGCCTCTTCACCGTGCTGCAAAGCTGATCATCAATTCTCAGTTGGAAAGCGGAGATTTTCCTCAACATGTACGTTTTGAAACGTGAAACCCGGTTAATAGGAAATTGTGACTTGCTGAAAAGTTAAAAACTTCAAGATTCTTGCAAAGGATGTATACAAGCAAACCCTGGACCCAAATGCTCTTAATTTCAACTTGGGTTTTAAGCCATTTGGATCATTTTTTTTACAGCGTGTCTTACTCTAGATCCAGAGTAAGGTTTTGAATGGTGAATTATATATGTATGGATGCAGGAGATAACGGGGGCGTTCATGAAGAACTGCATGTTGCACTACAGTGCTTACAGAAACACCTTCCCATTGTGGGCTCTTGCTGAGTATCGCAGACGAGTTTCGTCGTTTCCCATGTGATGAAGTTGCAGAGCTTCCTGTCTGAATGAGAAGTAAAGTAGTTGTGCATGTAAACCGTCCGGCAGTAGCGCCACATCTTTGCTGCAGTTATCAGTTAAATCATATCAAAACCAAATGCGGCATGAGAAATCACAATTTCAAATCAGAGAGGGAAAGAACATATTGCTGAACCACACGCATTTGTTTTAATGTTCAACTCAGAAAACAAAAGAAGAACACTTTGTGTTAGACAATCACTTACTCTTCTCCATTATTCTTATCTGATTTTTGGGATCAAATCACACCAATACTCGATTATTGAAGCAACTTCTTCCAAATTTGTTGAAGCAACTTGATATGAAGATGTTAACGAAACAAACCTGGATGGAAGGGAAGAAAAGCAGGTAGGATCCAAAATTCTGGAGGCATGGGATTGCATCCAGACCAGTCAAACACACCGAGGATCTACAAACAATGTAAGATCACGGCCGTCTTTTAAGCGGTTCAACCGGTGCGATCGTATAGGCGCCAAAATTTGGGAGCCCATTTTATTTAAAAATTATTAATAATATATAATATTAAAAGACCTCAGTGGAGAACAAACCAGCTCCGAAGAGCTTAAACCCTAGAAGAGAGAGAGAGCATTTAACTATTTTTTATTAAAATAATTATTACGAAACGTCATTTATTAAATAATTATATTTATTAAATAATAATATTAAAGCACATCATTTATTAAAGCACATCATTACAGATTTTAAAATAATAATATTAAATAATTTATTAACGGTAACAAATTATTCTATAAAAATGGAAGATCAAAACCATTTATCACTCCACCTTACGTTCACAGTTTACTATTCATTATTTTGTCCTTAAAATATTAGATAGCATTTTTTTTTTCAAGGCTCAAGAGAATAACACATAAGGTACTTTTTATTTTTATTTTTTATTTCAATTGTTATTTATGTGATGATTTTGTTTATATTATTAAATGCTAATAATATTGTTATTTATTTTCAGGTTTGATAGTTGGAAGAAAAATTGGGAAATCCAACTGAATTTCTAATTTCCAGGTTTTTTCTTAAATTTTTCTTTTTTTATTAAATATTGAAATTTAAATATATCTTCTGGAATTAGAAAATATGATTTTGGATTTGAAAAACGTAAAAAAAAAAGAAAAGAATTGAAGAATTAATTCAATCTAAAAAAGGAGCTTTAGATAAATTTGTTATAAAAGAACCACAAACTCTTAGTCAAAATGAAGATGATATTACTAATAATGTAGTAGATATGAATGAAAATGATGATATTAAGATTATTGATAATAATGATAGTTTACAAAATGATGAAAAAAATTCTTATGAAACTAATATACTTGATATTTTTTACCCAAGAAATTGGGATAATCTTGATTCTAAAATGATTGATATTTTAGCAGCAAATGGTCCTAAGAGATACGAATATTGGAAAAGATAAAAAAGATAAATTTTCTAGGCGATTTTCATCAATATATTATACTAGAATTTTATCAAATGGTGAAAAATGTGATAGAGATTGGCTTGTTTATTCGAAAGAACTAGATAAAGTATTTTGTTTTTGTTGTAAAATATTTTAAAAAAATATTGGAAAGGGCCAATTAGCAAATGAGTATTTTGGAGATTGGATACATCTTAGTATTAGACTTAAAGAACATGAAATGAGTGCAGAACATATAAAAAATATGGTCACTTGGTATGATTTGCGTTTAAGATTTAAAAAAAAATCAAACTGTAGATAAAATAGCTTATACACAACTTATGAAAGAAAAAGATCATTGGAAAAATATCATATTTAGAATTATTTCAATTGTAAAATTTCTTTCGAAACATAATTTAGCATTTCGTGGAACAAATGGAAGATTATTTGAAAATAACAATGGAAATTTTTTGGGTTTAATCGAAATGTTGGCAGATTTTGATCCAATTGTTCAAGAACATTTGAGACGTATTACAAATGATGAAATTCATCATCATTATCTTGGTCATAATATTCAAAATGAACTAGTTCTTTTACTTGCTTCTACAATTAAAAATGAGATCATTAAAAATGTAAAACAAGCAAAATATTTTTCTGTTATACTTGATTGTACTCCAGACAGTAGCCACCAAGAACAAATGTCTTTGATTATCAGGTATGTGAATATCTCTTTTGATCTTGTTAAGATTGAAGAATCGTTTTTAGGGTTTTTAAATGTGAATGATACAACTGGGCAAATGATTTTTGCTGTGTTACAAAATGAACTAAAATCACTTGATCTTGATATAGATAATATAAGAGGACAAGGTTATGACAACGGATCAAATATGAAAGGAAAAAATCAAGGTGTACAAAAAAAACTTTTAGATGTTAATCCTAGGGCTTTTTATACTCCTTGTGGTTCTCATAGTCTAAATTTAGTATATTATGTGATATGGCTAATACATGTGGTAAATCTAAAGATTTTTTTGGAGTTATACAAAGGATATATACAATTTTTTCTAATTCTACTAAAAGATGGCAAATTTTGAAAGATAATGTAAAATGATTGTCTCTAAAACCATTGTCATCTATCCGTTGGGAAAGTCGTGTTGAAAGTGTTAAAGCGATTAGATTTCAAATTTCACAAATACAAGAAGCTCTATTAGAAATATCAGAAATTGATAATGATTCTAAAATAAGAAGTGAAGCTAAATCATTAGCGACAAATGAGTTTGGTGATTTTGAATTTTTGGTAGCAATAGTTATTTGGTTTGAAATACTATACGTAGTTAATTTGGTAAATAAACATTTACAAGCAAGTGATATGCATATTGATGTTGCTATTCAAAAGCTAAAGGGTTTGATTTCTTTCTTTGAAAAATATAGAGAAACTGGTTTTTCTAATGCTTTAGAAGTTGCTAAATCGATTGCTACGGAAATAGATGTTGATCATGTATTTAAAAAAAGACGTGAAATTCGAAGAAAAAAATCATTTGATGAGAATTCAGATGATACATCTTCTAGTAATTCATTTTCTCCTCAAGAACTATTTAGAATAAATTATTTTTTATATATTATTGACCAAGCACTTAGTTCATTTAATAGGAGGTTTGAACAATGTCAAGAATATGAAAATATTTTTGGTTTCTTATTTACTTCAGAAAAATTGTGTTCTTTGAATGATACTAATTTAAAATGTTGTTGTGATACATTTGAAAATACTTTTAGAAAAGATGAACAATCTGATATTGATGGAAATGAATTATATATGGAATTAAAATTATTGAGAGAAGTTTTACCCAAAGAAATGATGAAACCTATTGATATTTTGAATTTTTTGAAATGTATGGATTGTTTTCCTAATGCAATGATTGCTTATAGAATTTTATTAAATATTCCTGTTACTGTTGCATCTGCAGAAAGAAGTTTTTCCAAATTGAAATTATTGAAGTCTTATTTGCGTTCAACAATGTCTCAAGAAATGCTCAACGGACTAGCATTACTCGCAATAGAAAACAATTTTTTAGAGAAAATTGATTATGAAGATTTAGTTGATAAATTTTCTATAAATAAAGCTAGAAGAATTGTCTTGTTTAAATGAATGTTTAATATTTTTTATTAATTTAGTTCATTTGTATATTTTATTATATTAGATATGTTTGTATCATATTTTTGAAAATAATATAATATTTGATTTTTTAATTATATTTTAATATTATTATTTTTTATTATATTAATTAATAATTTTTTTATTGTAATATGTACAGGGCCTCCAAATTTTGTGAGACGGCCCTGTGTAAGATAGTTAAGACAATTTCTCTTATCATTCTCTGGGTCAACAGATGTCTGAATATTTACTGAAAGCCAAGTTTTTCCCGAAGAAGGTATGAACGTGACACCATCGTGATCAAGAATCCATTATCGGGCACGTTTGCATGCATTTTCTTGTCCCCCATCAGGGCCTTCTCCAAGTGTACGCATACATATGTAATTCAGAGCAGTGCAGAACATCGTGTTGTGACTTTCAATGTGTAATCCCCAGCCGCCATCTTCGTTCTAGTAATAAGAGAAAAAAAGGTTACATGTCATAGTGTTGATTGTTGGAGGACATTTGGACCACGACACACTCGGTGACTTGAGCGAGAAGGCACACTTGGAAAAGAACAACTCGGACCGAAGATTACTCGGAAATGGCAAGTAAATCACCCAACAACCTAGCAAGAGTGAATTGACATTTTTCCAATTATCATGCATAATATATTCATTTACCATGCATATTATTGTAAATAGTTGTTTATGTTTTTGTGTATATATCAAAGCACGAACATGAAAAGAAATAAGAGAGCAAGTCTTATTTTTGTGAAACTTCTCTGAAATCCTAAGTCAACTTCTCCTATCTTGGACCTTCGGATCTAGGGTAAAACCCCTAAAAAACCTCCAACTTGCAAAAATATATACAAATAAACCTTGAACTTGAAAAACTATCATTCAATCCCCGAACTTGTAACTTGTCACTGAATAAAACCTCGAACTTGCAAATTATTGCTCTAATAAACCTTTGACCGATTTGACCACAATTTTAGGCGATCGGAAATCCACGTATTAACGGATTGCTGATGTCACCTTATACATATTATTAATTTTAGTTTAAAAAATGACATCAACAATCCGTCAATATGTGGATTTCCGATCGTTTGAAATTGTGGTCAAACCGGTCAAAGGTTTATTAGAGAAATAATTTGCAAGTTCGAGGTTTTATTCAGTGACAAGTTACAAGTTCGGGGAATGAATGACAGTTTTTCAAGTTGAAGGTCTATTTGTATATATTTTTGCAAGTTGAACGTTTTTTAGGGGTTTTACCCTCGGATCTATTCTATTGTGCTTATATTATATTCAAGTCTCCTAAATCTCTCAAATTCTATATGGTATCAGAACATTAAGGTCTTTAAGGTCTAGACACCCCTCTGATCCATCAATTTCTCTTTGTTTTCTCTTATCCCTACCAACCGTTCATCAATATCCGATGGATTCCCACACTAAAATTATCCCAATTACTTTGATTGGCGAAAACTTCTTCTACTAGAAAAAGGCAGCAACCACAGCCCTAAATAGCAAGGGCTTATGGGAACATGTCACGGTCGAACAACGGACTTCTCTCCCGGAAGAACCGGTACCCGAAGGAGAAACTCCGCCGCAATTTCAACAAAGGATCCAACGCAACAAGCAAACTCAATTGGATTTCAATAAATGGAGATAAGATGATAGTCAAGCTTTGGTGATTTTAC